TATCACATATTTGAGCTCATTTTTATGTCCTAAAATTAATTTGGATTTGGCTTTCGTTTGTATGGATCATACTTATTTAACAAGTGATATTCTGCATTTCCTTTCTCACAAATTTAAGGTTTGGAGTCGTTTTCACAATAAAATAGTGGCACATTACACACATGATTCATTTATACACCTTACTCCATCTTGAACTTAACTGCGTATGTGGGAAAGTCTTTTTGATATTCCTTGATTTATGATTACATACTTGTTTTGACTTGTCAAAGTGTCGGGAGCATGATTTGCCTTAATTTCGTTTTATTCAAAAAAAAAAAAATGGTACTATTTTTTTCAATTAAAGATTCTTGGTGCTATTTTTATTAATTCTTCAAATTGGGATGTTACTTTTATCTATTCAGTTTTTTTGGTGCTATTTTTCTTAGTTTTTGAATTTTTGGTGCTATTTCTATCAATTGGTGTGTCGCCACCTATCGCTGGAACACGCTCGAGCGACAGTAGCAGAAGCTGCCTCGCTCGCTTACCGCTCGAGGGTCGCTTGAGCGACAGTGCGTAAGTTTGTGGGTTTGAGGGTTTTTCACATATTTTCATCCATTTTTCTCAAGATTTCTCAAATTTCTGTCAAAACCCTCTCAAAACTTCACTTCAACACTTTCTTTCTTTGCCTAATCAACTGCGTTGTGCATCTATTTCCTCAAATCATCAAGCTTTGAAAGGTACTCTTCGAAACTTTTGGTTTTTTGCATTTTTTTTCAATTTCCTTTGCATTGTTCGATGTTTGGTCACTTTGCATTGGGTTTGTGTTGTTACATTTCATTAGTGGCTCATTGTTATTGCTTGTTATCACCTTTGCATGTAATGACTTGGATTATTGGCATTGTTTGGGCGTTTCTCTTTGTGTTCTTCATCGAATTTTGGCTTCTTCCTCGTGTTCTTAATGGTGGTTGCTCTAGTTGACTAGGATGCACTTGTTTTGATGAATGAGTTGTGTTGTTGGGTGGTTTTTGTTGTCATTGATAAGTTTGGGTCGTTGTGATTGTAGTTGTAGTTGATGACCTTGAAGTTTGTGTTTTGTCAGTGTTTTAGGCGTTCGATTGCTTATATTTGTTTTTAGTTTTAGGCCATCAATGTCGATTGTAGTGGCTTGTGATTGGTCTTGTGTGTTGATGTCGTGTCTTGGTT